AAAAGTAACTTAAAACTTTAACATAAATGAAGAAGAATCTCAAATTCATTAAAAATAATGATGCATGATCTTGAACCTAGCATTGTGCTGTTTATCTTTATTAATTAAGTTGTCAAGTTTATATATTTCAAATTGTTATAAAAACGCCCTTCCCTCCTCCCTCCTATGTTTCTTTGTTATGTGTCGTAAGAGCAAGGGGGGTGGGGTGAGCACTTGAACTGAATTATAAAAAATCTGGATCTACTTTCTGAATTTAAAAACAGTTTTTTTCGCCTTGATTTCGGCAATATTTAAGATATTATAGGGTATACAAACAAACAGAAATTATTACTTTGTATATATTGTATACTAGCGCAGGAACCCAGCTTTTCCTGAAAACTAAGTTTTTCTCTACAAAAATCAACTTAACCCTATTCCTGCTGGGGGGGGGGGTCAATTTGACCTATATATTACCTGTCGAGTAAGGAGAATATTTGGCCGCATATTGTACAGATGAAAGGAGGACCACTAGTGTCGGAGGTTTCATGCTTTTCTGAACTCTCCCCAATGACAAGGCGACCATTTTCTGAACTATGTGCCATGAGAAGAGCGGACACCTGATATTTAGTTTGTGGATTTATCGGACACCCGCCAGGCAGCATGGACGGATTTAACGTTACGTCGGCCGTCGGCCGTTTTGAGAGATCTAAGGGGTTGGACTGAAGAGAATCACTGTTTGTCTGTGGCGTTGTACTGTCTGAATGTTTGATTTGATTTATGTTATTAGTCACGTACTGCTGCAGGTACATTTTACTAAGGATTTGAGACTTGATGTACGCCTCGTAGTTCTCCAAGACAAGGTTCATGGGGGACCCCGGTGTCGGGCTCTCGTCCTGTTTATTCCCCATGGTGAGGGAGGAGGAGGCGGAGGGGACAGCGGGGAAATTCAAGGATTTTTTCGGACTTTTCAGTTGGTCTTCACACTTCAACCTGAAACATTTTATCTCAAAATTTAAAATATTTAGGATCGAAATTTGAGCAAATAAATTTTATATGTGTTGAAAGAAAATAGATTTAGATTATAAAATAGATAATAAATTAATCAACTCTAACATTTTCAATCTGTAAATCTTTTCTTATATCTATCTATCTATTTAAATATCTATCTATCTATCTATCTATTTAAATATCTACGTATCTATCTATCTATTTAAATATCTATCTATCTATCTATCTTTCTATCTAGTATCTATCTATATCTATCTATTTATCTATATATTTATTTATCTATATATTTATCTATCTATTTATTTATCTATCTATCTAGCTATCTACCTGAGGGGTGAGAAGAAAGGTTTAGAGGGTGATGATGAGGACTGTAAGGGTGAGGAGAGGGTGGAGGAGGGTAGGACGGGTGATGAGAGATTTGACGAATGTGAGAGGGTCGGAGAACCAGGTTTCCTTTTCTCCGAGTCGGATTCATCACTCTCACTTGTCTCCGACTTCAAAGCTGATGCTTGCACTTGGATTTCAAGTTCTAAACAAAACTTGGTTTGGGAATTTACATAAACTTAAACTGCAGACGTTATTTTAAGTCATAATCCTTTTACAACGGTACCCTTTAAGGGCCGGGGCTGCAAACTTTATTTCAAATTATCATTCTTTTATAAAATGGCATATCTGATCGGGTACCTATTAAAGAGACTGCATTTTAAGTGATCATGCTTTTTCTAGTGTGGCATGTCGGATTCACAACGGGGTCCATTAAGGGACTGTAGTCGGAGTTTCAAAAGAACCAATTATTTTTATAACGGTGCGTTCCGATTCAAAGGAATACGGCCTTGCAACTCTTATCAACAATGAAGAAGCTAGCGCCATTTTTTTTTTTTTAAATGTGACTTTAAATTGGAGAAATACTTTTGTTAAGGTAAATTATGTCACTTTTTGCAAACTGTTCCCGCCGCATACTGCAAAATTTAGCTTCGACGTTTTTATTTCCATTTTTGCAAAACTATTTCTAGAATTAGCTCCTGTAGCACGAGGAAGGGGGTGCATAGCCGCCATAAGCCCCGGGAAATTACCTCCGTAGCCTCCTGATACGCAGAATGACCACAAATACCCGCAAAACCATTCCGTGCCTCTTGCTACTTCTACAAGCCTCTGCCATTCTGTCAGTAAAAGCCAAGCATTTTTTATTGGAGACCAAACTGCTAAGGCTTGGAGACAAAGCTAGAGACGAGGAGACGGTTTCGCGGGGCTTGGGGTCATTCTGCGTATTAGGAGACTCTGGAAAACATTTCGCTGGGCTTATGGCGGATGTGCACCCCCTCCCCGCGTAGCACTACACACCTGAACCTATTTTCTTCATTTTTAAAATTCTTCCTTCCAAAGGNAAATGTGTTGTTTTCTTAATTAAATGTTTTGTTTTCTTAATTAAATGTGTTGTTTTCTTAATGCCGGCTGAAATAGTCAAAGTATGAAATATCAGACTTTACACCATCAAGTTTCGGAGCACAGTGATCTAAAGGTTGTAAGTTTTCACGCAACAATCGATGAGAATTGTGCCATTATTTTAGGATTTTGCCAGATACTCCTTTTATATTGAAACATGTGAACCTATTGTATAGTTTGAAGCTTAATCACGGTACATTCCGGTTCATTTTATGTACAGGGCCGAATTTCAACTAGCCAGGGCAAGCAGTACAGTACAATTACAGACTATATGAGGCAAAACGGGACTGTACGCCAAATGAATGATCTCCTTCTAGTGAACTTTATGTGTGACATCCAGGGCTACACAAAAGTACAAGTTCGAGAAAGAGACTGTAATCATTTTTTCAAGTGTCCTTATTTAAAAAAAGGTATCACCGCGTAAACTCCAGATTTTTGGCTTTTTACGCAACGTTTAAGAGATTAATTTACAGATTTCTCGGTCCTCCATAATCGGTCTAAGGTTTAAAGGGTACCGTGATAAATCGGGGATATCCCTACTTGAAATTACGGTTACAATCCCTTTAAGTTAACCCCATGGGAGGATAAAGGGATGGCGCCACTTTAAAATCGATCTGTACTGCAGTGATACAAAGGCATTTCAAGAACCGGGTCGACATCTAACCAGCTAGAGCAAGCTGTACAGTACACAATACAGATTACATGCAGGCACTACGGTATGGTACACCAAGTGAACCAGCCTCTTCTAGGGAAATTCTAGAATGGTTGCAAGTTTGCACGCAAAAATAGATGAAATTTTTTCCCATTTGTTTAAATGTACATGTCTAAGGCTAAAAAAATGTAAAAGTGAAATAACAAGGTCAAGACGTTGCGACACTTTAAAGTCGCCCCCGGCCCTGTCTTAAAAATTAACGCAACTATTCAATGCACAGACGATATTTCTGATTTAGGTCAAGTGCAAGATGAGTCAGTAAGAGATTTGAATCGTAATATTTACCTATACTCCTGTCCTCATCTTTATCCTCCTCCTTGTCCTCTCTCTCCTCTCTGTCCTCCCTCTCCTCGTCCTTGTCCTCTTGTGGAAGGAGGTTGGAGGCCAACTTGTCGAGGACTGCATTCAAACGACGACGCTTCGTCGCTTTTCCATTTCCGACTAGAAATAATTTTATTGAAACAAAATTAAAAATAACAAGAAAAAAAATATTTTAGAAATCTTTTCAGATTTTTTTAAATACCCCAAAATAAATTTCTAGGTAATATTTGAAACAGTCCAGAAAACAATCTTGACACTAAACAAACATACATTACAATTTGCTTAGAAATATTTTTAAATGATCTAATTATTTTACAAAAATTTTCAATATCTTAAAGAATTTCTTTTATTACCTTTGATTGGTTGTAATGAGGCTGAGCTGATAAGTTTCGTATCCTCCATTTTATTTTTATTTTTATTTTTCTTGATATTAGTGTTGTTAGTTGTTAGATTAAAACACATTGGGTTCTTTAAGGTCGAAATTAAAGCTCGATTTGTACTCTATACATGTTCTTCCTTCTGTTTACATATTCTTGACTTTTTGTTTGTTTACATTTTTACTGGGTTACGTCACTGGGATTGAATTGTTTATTTTCTATTTTTACTCTAGATCACCGGTTGTAAATATCAACTGTTTTCACCTGAAAAATAAAAAATAAAAATAAATGTTTTTTATTTCGTCCATTTATATATTTTTTGTTCTATTCATCTATCTATCTATCCATTAGTTTGACAAACTATTTAGGTATTTTATAACTCATCTTTTTGAAAAGCAATTTAAACAAAAACAAAAAATGTTTTAAATTCTTAAAATTTTCTTACACTTGTGCGTAAAATCAAGCTAGAGGAATTAAAAGGTCGCAAAGTCGTAGCAGTATTATCGTATAATGTCTAGTTCAAACTTCAGTGTCATGTAATGTGATTCATCATATTTATGTGTCTGTAATCTATTCACATATTCAGCTCTCTATCATATATCTGTAGTGTATAGTCATCTTTCCATCTATCCATCTATATCCATCTATCCATCTATATATTCATGTATAAATCTACTCTTCTATTTTTGTAAAAACAATCCTTCATATATTCGTCTATTTATCTATCCATCTATCCACCTATCAGCCCATCTATATATTTATGTATAAATCTACTCTTCTATTTTGACAAAACAATCCTTCATGTTGTCGTCTATTTATCTATCCATCTACCCATCTATCAGGCCATCTATATATTCATGTATAAATCTATCTCCTTATTTTTGAAAAAACAATCCTTCATGTATACGTCTATTTGTCTCTTCATGTCAAACCTGTCTTTGTTGACAAGAATTTTGTTTCTTTACAAGCAGGAGAAAAAATAACAAGTGAAATATTAAATACTTTTAGTTCAGATACAGTGGAACCCATGATTCAGAGGAATAACAAGTGAAATATTAAATACTTTTAATTCAGATACAGTGAAACCCATGATTCAGAGGAATAACAAGTGAAATATTAATACTTTTTGTTCAGATACAGTGGAACCCATGATTCAGTGGAATGACAAGACAACTGTTAGGATTTTTAAAAGTTCAATTAACAAAGTGCAGTGTGTACAGAATCACTTCGGTTTCTTCTCAAGCCACTTTTACCATCAAATACACAAAAGATTTCTTATATGTCGTCTTCCTATTCCACAGTTTCATAGGTCTCGCTAAGAGGTGTGAAATCATTATCATTATTATGGATTTAAAGGGACTGTAAGCGTAATCTCTAGAGACCCTCTATGCAAAGATGGCAATGCCCGATTTAAAACGGTAACCTTGAAACTTTTATCTGATAAAAAATGTGTAAGATATTGTCGTTTTTTTACTCAAAAAGTGTTTATTTCCATTGATTCTTATCTTTTTTTACTTTACGGTCCGTTTGTATCTAATAAATGATAAAACGAGTATACCGATCGGGCCCAAATTTTGTGTGGGACTTCACTTGACCCCAGAGAAGGTCTATGGATGATCAAAATTTCAAAAAATAGCCTCCAACAAAATTTGATTTGAATTAAATTTTTGAAATCCACGAAATTTTTTCATAAAATCCGCAAACTTTTTTGTTTGTTTTTGTTTTACAATGTATACAAAGAGAACATGTTCACAAGTGAACTAGAAGATGAGCGCAAAGCGCCCTGAAAGCATAGTAAACAAAAACCGCAAATGAAAATAAACAGTTAAAAAAAAGAATTGAATGCCAATTCATACTTGACCAGACAAAGCTTTCAAGGGTACCGTTGTGAATCGGGCATTGTTATCTCAGCGTTGAGAGTCAGTTGAAATTACGCTAAGCGTTCCTTTAAGTTTTTGAGAAATTTTATTAAATATGAAACTGCATGGTGTTGAGAAATGGCGTATAATAAAGATGAATATTAAACCAACCTTAATTATAATGAGTCCATCTATATACCAGCCATCTGTTGTCAGGTTTCTTTAACATATTCAGCAGATACTTCGTCAGCCGGAGATACAGAATCCACCAAACTCATTCCGTAAAATCCGCTAAACCATTAAAGTTTCATTTGTTTCCTATGCTTTAGATTCTGCTGGGACTATTTTAATTTTTCCGTTTTAAAAGCAAAAAAAACATGTTGGATCTACAATTGAAAAAAGTATCAAGTTTTTAAGGTCAAAACTTATTTGTGAAAAAGCGCTATTAAACTGTGATATTTAAGGATAACATGTTAGACTCCTGAATTTTACATAAAATCATGAATGGATCTAATATAACTTTTTGCAAAAACCTAGATACGGGATTCACAGCTCAAAAGTTTAAAACTCAAGGTCAATTTTATCTCGGAAAACAGCTTTAGGAAATTTTTTTAAAGGAAACTTTCGTTTTAAAATTGTTCTAAAAAATGTAAGCCGTATTCTAACGATATAATGCACCGTAATTTAAAGCATTAAAGCAAATGAAATCATGCCTTATGTTGCAGCTTGAAGACTGAAGCACTTCTTGAATTTATATTTTTAGTGGTTTAGAATTATATTGTTTCTGAGATCTAGTACAGATTAGAGACATCTGTAATTTAGTTAGTGAACTACAGTAATGTTATTTCATTAGTATTGTTAGTAAGCACCTAAAATAATTTTACTCAATAATTATTTGATAAAAAAAAATTATTAAAAAAATTGGCGGATTTTCTTTTTGAATTGGCGCATTAAAAAAAAAAAGTTTTATCAATATTTACGGAATGCCAGACTTATCAGCAATTTTGTTTAGATTATAAAAACATATTTTTTAAATCATATCAACTTGACTGAACATTTAACTAACTTTTCATAATTATTTCAATCAATTATACATACAGTGAGATTCATACAGCTGTGGAATTGGAAGGCGACATAGATTCTGTACAGTGTACATTGCAAAAATGGACTGTTTATACTTATGACTAAATTCTAACAACTAGTTGTCTTTTTACTCCATAGAAATATGGATCCCACTGTATCATTTTTTCACCTTCCTCCTTTAAAAATATGTATTATAACTCATCTTTTTGAAAAGCAATTTAAACAAAAACAAAAAATGTTTTAAATTCTTAAAATTTTCTTACACTTGTGCGTAAAATCAAGCTAGAGGAATTAAAAGGTCGCAAAGTCGTAGCTTAATGATATGTATGGCCTCAGTGTCAGGCTAGTTAAGAAGATATTCAAACAGTTTCCCCGTCATACAAAAAAATGATGGCGTCCGGCGCCACCCTCTTTATATGTTTTTCTTATTCAATTTTAATTCAAGTGAGTTTAAATCTCAATCGTTTTCATTTAAAGCGATCTACATAATGTTCCATAAATTAAAAAAATTTGGCACTTATTATTGAGACCGGTCTGATATTTGAAGCCAAGATCCCATCTTAAATCCCATTTCGCTAATTTGAAATATTTTATACTATCGAAGTGCCCGGCATTTCTCATGGAATTTCAAAAAAACATTTAAAAATTTAAAAAAGATTTCTTTTTTTATAGCCTATGTTACCCCCCAGGTTACCCAATGCCCATGGGTTGCCTCAAAAAATGTCAACCAATTTGGTCCAGTCGTTTGGATAGCTATAACTAGCATAGATATAGATTTATAAATTCGAGCGAAGTGCTTTAGTAAATAGATTCTTTTTTTTAAATGATGCATCTTAATAATCGAAACAAGATTGTTTTAACATCAACAAATACAAACAAATATATGTAGCTGCCCCCCCCCCTCCAGAGATTTATAAAAAGGAACTTTACAGGACAAAGTTGTAAAAACTTGAATATTTCTGAACTTGATAATTATAGATTATATATAATTGGAATCTTTATTCTTTAATCGATAACTTAATATTTTTATAGCTGTGTAAAAAAAGCAAAAAACGCCAAAAAAAATACATAAAACAATTTTTATACAGGGTTACCCACAAAGGATGAGACTGAGACCCAAAACTCTAAAAATATGACGATTTGAAGCTTGATTTTTTGTTTCTGCATTCAATTGAGTACTTTACTGGTTTTGATGGTTTACCAAATGATCAAGCACAGAAATATGCCAGTTTTGGCCTACAAGGAACCCTGAATGCTAGAAAACGGACTAAACAAATTCCGTAGAATCGTCTCTGAAATCTCATCCTTTGTGGGTAACCCTGTATTGATATGGATATTTTTCGATTATTATATTAAAGATAGGTGGGGAATGGAGATGAGGGGTGGGGGCAAAAAACTAATAAGGGAAAAGAAGGACAAAACAATTTCTAAGTAAATGTCTCCTACAATTAACTTTTTTTTAGGCAGGCCTGATTCTGAACAAAATGAACTTTAGTATTTAGAGAAGAAATGCAAGTTTTAGGAAATCAAGTAACATTATAAAGATAAAAATACAAGCACAGGGGTTCTAACAAAGAATGAGACTTCAGAGACGGCTATAGCAAATATTGTTAAGCCGTTATTAACATCCTTTGTTAGTACCCCTGTGCTTTCAAAGAAGTATTTAATTGCATTAAAATAAGAAAGCATATTTCAAGCAATGAGTTTTAGAAATTTGATGTAATATGTTTCAATTTTGCTTTTGTAGAGAACCCACAATTAAAAATAATCAGTTTCTAAAATTAAGAAATGGATTATATCTAATTCATACTTTATCAGAAAAAGCTTCTCAGGCGAGTTGTTAAATCGCTTAAATAAAATAAAAAAGTCTTTTTGATTGGTTAAAACCGGTCGTATTCCTTTTACTTTCTTAATCGGGGAAAAAAACAGATAAAAAACCTTAAAGCCAAAAACATTTGTATAATATTTTATCATAGGAATAGAAAAAATAAATCTTTTTATACTAAAAAAACATGTATATATCGAGAGAAATAGAGGATCCTCATAAAAAAAGTTATATGATTAATTCTATAAGAATAATCGAGAGAAAAATATTCTCTTTATTTCTTAGAAATGTTCTTTGTTGTTATCAATAGATTTATGCAGATTGTATAATGTTTAATTATATATATACTCATATTCATAGATTATAAAATCTGGATTTTTTTACAGTGCAACTTTAAACATTCACCACAATCCCACATATGCCAGGGTAACTGATAAGTTTCAATAATCATCAACCACCATCAAATACGATCACAATTTTAAACAAAATTTCAATCGAAATTCATTAAATCCTGTTTGGAAAGAAATTAGCTTTTATTGCCGGAAAGAATTTAAAAAAAAATTGATCACGATTGAGTATAATTTCCTAGGAGGGCTGTGAACGTGAGGTCTAGCCTTTTCAGGCAACTCAGCCACACTGACACACAGGCACTCGAACATAGGCAAGCCTTTACAGGGGGGAGGATTCAGGCATTTTTGTAGATAAGAAATTTAAAAATTTAAAGTTTAAAAAATTCCACCGGATTAAATTTTGTATTTTTATCTATGAATTTTGAAATCTGCAAAAATGTTTCCTCCTANTCATTTCAATTTCGAAATTTTCAAAGCTGTTAAATAAACTTTATAATGAATTAGGTGAATAAAAACCATCATTTGATTTATAGTTATAACGGAAAATCATCGTTTGTAAAGTGAAAGGCATAGAGTTGTGAAATTATCATTGGTCAATTATGAAACCAGCCTATTTCATAATTTGGTTTTCTTTATAACATTAATTTTAGATTTTCTATAAAATGATGTTCCAGGGCCCAAAAGGTTATATAGCATAAATATGTGAAGTACACCTACAGTATGGAAACAGTACAACAAAATGGTAGTTTTACACTTTTTTTCTAGTAAATTCCCCTCTAATATATATTCAATTCTCTTTGGTTAATGCTATCACATTAAAACAGTGAATACATGTCAATTAGTGTAAATCTAAAAAGTGGCGGACCTAATTATTAAATTCTAAATATTTTGAATATTGCAAGAGGGATATATTCATAAACTGATGACGTAGCACATAATTGGGAATTTTACGAGTTTTTACCTCGACTTATGGAATGTACAAAATTTTAATAGTAAAAAACACCCCCCCCCCCTGCGTTTCTAAAGATTTTATGTTTTTAATCAAAACTTCTCTTATTGAAGAGAGCTATTGAGAAATTATTTTGAATTTCTTACATGTAACCGGATGAAGTTGTTTTATTTCTCATACCATTCCGTAATATCAAAACTAGAGAGCTTCGGCCTTCGAAGTCACAATGTGGTACCAGTGATGTTTTCAACTTGATTCTGGCAAAAAAAAATTGGGTAAAAAAATGAAAGCCCTCTGGACAAGTTCTGACAACGCTCTTGTTGAAAATTAAAATTTAA